AAATGCATAAGGAAATGGACCAATCAATTTCCTTATGCTTATGCGTTATGCTTTATGCAAAAGTCTGTGCTCCGGCCATAAGACTAAGATTAAGATTAAGACCGAAGCATAAACCAGCCATGAGGTAGAATGCCGACCGACAAAGCTGAGCTATACATAAAGTTAAAGTACAGTACCATTTGTTTAATGCAATAAAACTTAATTCGGAATGCACTTACTGGTTTATCTCCTTCTTCCATTTTACTGATAACCGCATACAATTTCGATCATCTAGTGCAAAAGATATGATGTGACACAATACGATGGTGTTGCAAAACAAGGCACACTCGCGTCAACTGATGATATCACTCAGTGATGGAAACTGAGGGATTTTCATGCGCATCCTTCGTACGCATGTGCCTCAGATTGGCTGCCGACTTACCGCGCTTACTTGTACCGTTCAAAAATATATATTTTATTAGTGAGTATTTTTAATTCTTTTAGACGTAAAAGCGATAACTAAGAAAATGTTAAAGTTAAAAGCAGACATATTTTATAATAATTTTTTATGTATGAACAAAAATAATAATTATATTCGTTATTGATAATAAAACATTTAAGTATTATTTAAGTATTTTCAACATTGACGCACATAAATATAAATTTTGAAAAAAACATAATAATAATAGTAAAATTAGACGTAAAATTAGACATAAATTTTTCAAAATGTAATAATAATTTAATATTTTTGTATTATTTAATACTAATAAATTATTATTATTAACAAAAAAACAATAATACTTTTTTTCACAATTTATTAATAAATATTATTATTAAATAATTATTATATTGAATATTATACATTTCAAATATAATCATTTGTTCATAAATAAACATTATTATGTAACTTATATGCTTTTTAGTTTTTGAATGATACAAGTAAGGATAAGTCGACAGCCAATCTGAGGCACGTGCGCACGAAGAATGCGCATGAAAATCCCTCAGTTCCCATCACTGATATCACTCCGTGGTACGTGTTTTTAACTGTTCCCACGAATAGAGAGGCAATTCGAAAAGTTACTACTCAATGTTTAATAAACAAATGGACACAAAAATAATTTTTTGCTTTTTAAACTGGTTTACCATAAGTTAAATTCTTATATATAGATTTCACAATACAAAATAGGGAAGTTTGAATTTCGAAATCGGATGCAATATTTTGAAACCGTGCTATGTGGGATTTATATGCGGTTGTTATAAAAAAAAATTAGGAATAAGAAACGATTTTTATCGCTGAAACGAAATGTGTTGTAATAGCTCCAGCGAAAAATTACTCATTGAATCGACGTTGAATCAACATCAATTCGCTGTAATATCGATGACTTCGACGTCGATTTGATGTCGATTCGACGTCGATTGATAATTGGAGTGTCATTTTGCTTTATTCATTCTATTATTTTATAAAATAATCTAAAGTATACCATAGTTAAGTTCGTCGAAATTTCGACTAAATTTCGACTCGACGAGTTTGACATTGTTTCGACGTCACATCAACGTCACCTATCTGACTGGGACGCTTTCGTCTCTATCGTTTACTACGAATTCTCGCGGTGTTTCGCGCGGTTCCCTCTCGGGGTTACTCAAGGTGTTTATTGCGCGTCGTCCTTGGTCGCTTAACAACCAGGATTGATTCGGTTGTAAACTGGGGTCGTTTTGACTCGGATTACTGCCTAGCCAATATGGAAAACCGTGTCCTTCGCGTCTTTCGGACATTCGCTTTTATTTTACTAATGTGTCTTTATTTCGACTTACATTAATACGCTCGCTCGCATGGTGTTGCGTTGCTCGCTGCCCAGTGCTTCGTGGTGAGGTAGGTCACGTCCGTTCTCGCTGTGCAGTGGCCCTTGCTCGGATTTCGCTGACTCTGCTTGGTCGTTGTGCTCCGTCGGACTTTCTCAGCTGCTTATTGCTCGAACTGCCTTGACTGGACCGCTTCCTCGTGGAGGTTTTATTTTCTCTTCTCACTTTCACTTTTCGCACTTCTAGTTTCTGCGTTGTTTTCGGCCACGCTGTTCCCTTGGGTTGATCGTCTTGGTCCTGCTGCCGTGCCCAGTCCACCAAGGTGTCCACCAACAACCGGACTACGGTGAAAAAGACAGATCCCACCGCTGCCACCAAAATTGTTACGCCGTGCCCGTGACTCAAAGATCTCGTCGCGGGCCAACGCAGGATTCGGGATCCGTCGTGTAGGGCCAAGGGGGTTGATCCAAGGGAGATAATTATTGAACGATGTTCAATGAGAAATAAAATATCTTTATTCACTTAGCACTCGCGTACACTTTATTTAACGGCTTCCTCACAGTCGTTACGATCGCGTAAGATACGAACTCGGAGTTCGCGATACCGACGTGCAGCTCGTGCTTAGATCAAACTTAAAAACCCGTGGTGACAATCGAGTCACCTTCTTTTATACAGATCAGTATCTAGGTTAGCAACGTCTGCTTTTCCTTGAATGCTGATCTGCTTCGCTTGTTTGTGAGGCAATCCGCCGATCGTTTCCTCATACGGTTAACGCCTCAGCGTTTAATTACTTGTTTAAAGAATAGCATTGGTCAATATCTTTGTTAATTTTAAATACCTTATTCGTCTTTCTAAGAACGTGTTTCGAATTGAAAGTTTTATTTGCTAATTCTTTAAACAATAGCGTTGCTAAATTAAAATATCTCGTTGTAGTCTTTCGACACACAACATGGTTAAAGAAGCTGTTCTCTATAAAAATTGGGAAGCAACTAATTTCAAAAAATCCGTTCTCCAAATTATTGTTCCAAAGCAAAGAATCAAACAAATCTTGGAAATAGCACACGATTCTTCATCAGGAGGTCATTTTGGAATAAATAAAACATTGGATAAATTTGAAGGCGATTTTATTGGGCGTTATGTAAGCAAGAT